GATTCCCCATCTCAGCAACCAGAATCTAGTCTGTTCTTCCTCACATCCTCAGTGCTGGGGGATAAGACCAGAGCTCAGCAGCTGGTGAAAGCATGCCTCCCTCACAGCAGAGAGGTGCTAAGGATGGTAGCTCCTTCAGCATCACAGCAGGGAAGCAGCTGAATTGGGTTGGAAACTTGAACACTCCAACTAGCAGGGCACAGCATCCCTACTGCCACCTTTTATTTCCCTTCTGCAGGACGATTTTAGAAGTTTATGGTTTGCAGCAACTTTTACAGTACTGATGCCTTCAGCATCTCATGCCTCTTTACCAACTTATAGTGGGACCCTCAGGACTTCACGTGGATTCAAGAAAATCTGATCCCTGTTCAATAGAGATATCAATCACCATAGCTCCTACTTAGCCTGACTTGGCAATTAGAACAGGACACCACACAGAGCTCTCCAGAAAAACAGATAATCATCACATTGATTGCTTCAAGCTTCAGAACTCATATTATGGTACTAATGAGAACACTATGATAAATCACTCAATCTCGACACTAAAGAGAAAAGATAGCAAGGAGAATACCACTGACCAATACAGGCAGAATTTCACAGCAGTTTTTCTACTGCTTAAAGGAGAAAGTTGGACCACCTAAGTACAATCCAGCGCTGATCATCACCTACTCAGGCTTCAGCTTGGCAAGTTTCTGACCAGGCCTCACTCAGCACAAGCACACCTTCATACTCGCAAGCTCCCAGTGGAGCTCCTCAGCCACAGAAGCTGCCTGGTTCTGGCAAGTGTCCCAAGCTTTAGAGTCACATTCTTTGCAATTTAGCATTAGTTTTCCTGAAGTGACTCAGTCACTTCTCCATTCTAACAAAAGAATCTGCTAGCGCAAGCAACTGCATACAACATTTGATTGGTAGTGAAACAAGTATCCATATTCATTCTTAATGTCAGATTAATCCACGGGTTTGCAGCACAACTTGGCTTCCAGAAGGAACAAGTAACACTTCAGTGAGAGCTTACACTTCAGAGAACCTTCTACCAATTACCAGCTGCAGCCAGCTCCCCTCTTGCCTCCTTGTTGTCAGTCAACCTGCAGCCACAAATAGGACAGAAGTAATTACATCTGCCACTACCCAGCAGCCACTTTTTCCGCCCCCCCCCAAACAGAGTAGTTTAGTTAAACCAGTTTAAGTGCTCTCTCAAGGCCACTAGAATATTATGACATTTTCTGGCAGTTTCTATAGAGCTTTCAGTTACAGAATGTCTCGTTTCAACACCCAGGAGTTAACCAGCAGCCCTTCAAGTGGCCAGCACACATTCAGTATTACTTCCTAGAATCGCATTTCAGTCATATTCAGCACAAGTAGCTTAAGATTCCCCTTAAGATACTAAAAATATGTTTGAAAGTACACTGCATCCACATAGCAGAGCCAACACAGTAGATGAGAAGCTTTGATTTCACAGCCTTTGGGACAGAACTGCTATTATTTCTCTGGCATTTAGTTGAAATAGTCCTGAAGTTGTCCAAGTTACACATAACCAGGAAAACTGAAGCAGGCTTCTTGTATGCAGTCTTTACCTTGCTACTTTCACTACAGAAAACTCTCCCAAATCTGTGATTTTTGTACCACACAACTCCAGTGGCGGAATTATTTCATTATTCCCTCTTAATCTTTGTTTCAAGCAAAGTAGCAGCTTAGTTTATTCCCAGTGAGATGCTATTCCTCACTGAGTGCAGAGCTTTCCAATCAGGCAGAAAGGCAGGACAAGGGAAATGGTTTTAAGTTGAAGGAGGGAAGATTTAGGTTGGATGTCAGGGGGAAGTTCTTTACTGTGAGAGTGGTGAGGTGCTGGAACAGGCTGCCCGGAGAGGTCGTGGATGCCCCGTCCCTGGAGGTGTTCAAGGACAGGCTGGATGGGGCTCTGGGCAGCCTGGTCTAGGATTAGATATGGGGACTGGTGACCCTGCCAGCAGCAGGAGGATTGGAGCTTGATGATCCTTGAGGTCCCTTCCAACCCAAGCCATTCTGCGATCCTGTGAAAGCAGGCTCTATGGCTACAGCACCTGTTGCCACTGGCTGTGCAATAAGCTCCCTGATCACTCTGCTCTCCTGTAAAAGGGATCCCAGACTTGCTCTTCTCTCAAGTGGTCAAACAGCTCTCCACAGAGGAAAGGAGCTGTAGGAAGGATACTGCCACCATTCAGGGTTCCCACATTTCAAGCCAAAGCCTCTAACTCACCTTGCTCCAAGTAGCAGCACATAGGAACTCCCTGCACTCCAGGAATCAAGCACCATCTTCGGCAACACAGGCCAAATCTACCCTGCCATAGCAATTTGCCTGCAGAGCACAGCCTGAGGCAAAGTACTTCCAGTCTATATTTCATCTATAACATGAAGTACACCCAGCTAAGATGGAAATTGTGCAACAGAAGAAAGCCCCTAATCTATACTCAGCATTTCCAAGAATGCTTTGCCAACCTCCCACAGTGAAGCCAGGAACAGTAAAAGGGACTCTGCAACACATGCAATCTTCATCTCCCGTGGATCTGAGATTCTGTCAGTAGTCCAAACCACTAGGCCAGCTTTATAGACTCCTACAGACTGGACAGCACACTATTCCTATTCAGTAACTTTCACCTTGCTAGTAGTTCATTTCCCTATAAAGTGTTTTCTTGCAGAGCAAAAGACCTAGTAGGCAACTCCTTTCCAGAGCATCTAGTAGAAGTTAGCTAGAACAGAGAACTGCCATTCTGAAGTGCTAACAGCAGGTTCCCAGCAAAAGCCTAGAAACATAATATTTCATCTTTCACTGACCATTGTGAAGAAGAGCAGCCACAACACTCACTCTCACTATTTTGATCTATAACGGTATTTTGAACACTTAAGTCTGCAGTTGAATAATCAAGCATTTGAACAAATCCAGTACATTCACACAAGCTTTGCTTGGCAGTCCCACTGCTTGCTTCACTTTCTGAAGTGCCTTTTCCTCTCCAGGACACTATCTTTCCCACTGCACTTCCAATCCCCCTTATCCTACCGTCCCTCCCTTCCTCTTCCTATACATCTTGCCACTTCTGCTTTACCTACTCAGGGTCAGTTTTAGTTTATACACACCAACAATTCCTACTCAAGGTTAGCACACAATGATGTTTCCTTCACAGCCAGAAACTTAATCTACTGCCCACATACCTAAACAGGAACAGACAAGATAGCTACGTTTCTATCTTCACTGCAACTGCTGGAATCCCAAGACAGCCTTACTACCTGAATAGCTAGTTAATCTTTGGTCATTTTCTGCTGGAGTTTAAAGCTACTTGAACCCTTAGTGGGAACATTTTCCCCTCCCTTCAGTGCTCCTGCCCATTATGTTAGAAAGGCAGGTTAATACACAGTTACTCATTGCTGCAAGACAGCTGATGTTTTACCTTCTCACTTGCAGATTCTGCAGCCTACAAAGGCTTTCACTCACTACTCTCAAGTGACAGATAGTTCATCTAATGCTTGTCATTTAATGCATAGCAGAAAGAAGTAGCAGCTGATTCGCAATTCAAAGTGAAGAACTAGGAGGCAAGACACTTAAGATTCTGTCAGTTCAATAGGTCAAGTTTGTTTTAAAAGTTTCATGTTCTGTGGAAGCAGATGGAAGGAAAGAGGTTATTTAACAAGATTGTTCAAGGCAGATGTATTTTTTACATCTGGAAGAGACCAATCAATCCAGTTCCAACCCTCAGACATGGGCAGGGCTGCCTCCCACCAGCTCAGGCTGCCCAGGACCCATCGAACCTGGCCTTGAGCATCTCCAGGGATGGGGCACCACAGCCTCTATGGGCAGCTGCACCAGAACCTCACTATCTTTAAGTAAAAAGTTTCCTCTTTATATCTAAGTCTCCCCTCTTTTAGAGGGGGCATTTCTAGCCTTTCAAGTCCTTCAAGGCACCTCCCAGAAGATTGGAGAGGACACTGAGAAGACAACCCTCAAGCAACACAAACAGCCTGAAGCACAATTCATCTTCCAGAGTTCAGTTTAGGCATAATGCAAACTATATTCAGATCCAGATTACAGAGGCTGGCCAGGCAGCTGACCCCTGCTGGAAGGCTGCCTTCCCTTCCACCCGGGGTGTTGCTGGCAGCTATTAAGGCATACAGACTAAACCAGGCAGACCACTTGGTAAAAGAGGCATCTTTAAGCACTGCCAGCACGCACTCCCATTAAACACCTCACGAAGTTCCCGTCTCAGCCTTTAAGCTGCACTTCCTCTGAAACAGCAACCGAACGCAGCAAACCATCCCACACACGTTCAGCGCCGAGACCTGAGCACTCGGTCAGGGCTTCGACGTCCTAAGGCAGCACCACACGGAACGCAAAACTAAGTCGGTGCCCGACACAACAGCTGGAGCGGGAGGGAGGGAGGCACAGCCCAGTGACAGCTGACAGCCCCTCAGCGCAGGCCACCGCCTGGGACCGCACCTCACAACGCTGGCAGCCCGGCGGAGCAGGCCAAGCGCACTGCGGCCCAGCTCCTGGCACGGCCCGGCGCTGCCCCCTCACCTTGCTTTGCACGCCGTCCCGAAGCAGAGCCATATCTCGGTACTACCAGCCGCCCGCCTGCCGCCTCACGGCCGCCGCCGCCCCTCATATAGCGCGGGGCGGGGCCGCTGCGCCCGGCCCCTCGGCGCGGCGGCCATCTTAGGTGAGGGCAGCGTGCTGTTTGCCTTCATCTAAGATGGCGGCGTAGTGCTTAACTTTTTTTTTTTTTTTTTTTCTCTTCACGATTTGGGGAGCTTTACAAAAGCAACAAAAACCCAACAGAGAGGAAGATAGAACAGATACCGTGGGATTTATCGCCGAGTGTCTCCGGTGCGGTGGGAAAGGGCTGGCGGCGGGGAAGAACTACGAATTGGACAAGCCGCGAAGCGCAAGCGCGTGGGCTCTGAGGGAGGCTGCTGTCGCGCATGCGCGCAGGCGGCGGCGGGAAGCGTGGCGCGCAGGTAGCGGCGGTTGGCGCTTCGTTCTGAGGAAACGAGAACGGGCTGGGGGCCTTAGCGGGCACACGCCGCGCTCCGCAGCGCGGGGGAAGCGGGGTGAGGCTGTGCGGGGGTCGGTAGGGAGGGGAGAAGGCTCTCATGGGGTTCGCTGAGGGAGAGTGGTTGAATGGCTGCTGTGCCATCCTTTCGGGGATTCGGTGCTGTAACTGGGATTGCTCAAGGAAGCTTTTTTCTTTACTTTAAGCCTTTTTTTTTTTTTTTTTTTTTCCTCTGCTTTGTTTTTCCAGTCTGGTAAATTATTTTTTTATGCGCTGACTAGTATAACAAATACGCAGTGGTTGATCCATTGTTTATTCTGTTCTGATCGATAGGCTTGGGTGAGCAGAGTAATGGTCATCAAACAATATTCTGAGAAGCTGCAAGTTTAGATACTATTGCGCTGGTTTGTGTTTTATTGTCTCGGGTTGAGTTTGTGCTGCATAGCTAGCCGTAGTGCTCCTGGTCCTGGGTCAGAAATGCCACTACGTGACACAAAGTTCTGATTAATCTTATGGAATTGTCCAGGTTTAAATTTGCTTTTGGCAAGTTAATTTTGCATCAGGTCACATGCTGTTTGCAACCTTGATGTTTTATGTTAGCTTTTTGTTAGATCAGTTATTATTTGCCTAAACCATACAGAATCAGTGTGAAAAAGTGAAGCCAGTGAAGAAAAACTACAGTGTGTCTGCTTACTCCTGATTAAGCTTCTACAGCTGGAAGGTCTTGTCCTTCGTAGATCGAGAACAGTATTTATGGGAACGGAGTCCAAGGTCTCATCCTTTTGTTACAAGATTCCTTGATCTAAACAGCTGCAGCTGGTATAGCCCCATTTTTTTTGCAAGCTGTTCTGTGCAACAGATTCCTGCACCCACACTTTGCTGCCCCTGCAGTTCCACATGAGTTCAGGATCTGTCCATGCAAAACAACTCCTATCATATTTTTTGCTGTCTGTGTTGCCCACAATTTGGGTGCTGTGTGAAGTGCTGTATAAGAAGTGTGGTGAAATAGAAGAGTTTTAAAGCAAGATGCTAATGTTGCTTGGTGATGTGTTGCTCCTATTCTTTGTTTGCACAGGATAGATGGCAGAGATCTTTGTGGTGGTAATCACATAACTTTGAGTGGGAGAATCAATTCTGCAATTATGTAGTATTGATTTAAATTACACAATTCAAGTATTTATTTTAGTTATGTTTATAGGCATATTTGTGTTGTTTTCCCCTGCCCCTTTTAGGACTGTTTGTTACAAATCATTGTTGAGTTTCATGATATTGTTGCTGTAAGAGCATCCTCTTTTGCTCCTTTTGGTACTGGAAACATCTTTATGTTTGCTGATTCCAGTTCTGCCAGCCAGCACTGGTTCTTTTCAGAATTGTTTTCTGTTTCATTGCTAATGTGTTTTTTCTGTTATTGTGTTAGTAATCTAAAGGAGTTTTGATGGCATTAAGTGTATGAAGGCACCATAGCAGATTTTTATTTGGCAAAAGGCAAAAATAGGTTGATAGTTATGTGTTTTATGACTTTGGAAATAACAAATTTATTTTTCTACAGGGGGAAATTATGATAGCCTACAGACCAGTCCTAACAGAAGGAAGAAAACTATAGTTGCTCACAGATGCTTCTCATCAGAATGAAACTCCTACAGCTACTGGCTCGGAAATCTGAGAAACTGGAAATGCTTTTTCAGCCACAATTTTACCAAAAGCAGTTCCCATATATGTGTCTGGCTACCTCTGCTCATCTTTATAGCAAGAAGAAAAAAGCAAACAGTTATGAACAAGTTGACCAGGAAAAATACAAAAGCTTGGTATGCTCTGTTACATCTTACAAAGCCAGTGCTCAAACACCAGAGACAATATTTGAAGAAGACAATTTATTATATGGACAACCGCTTAAACGTAAATCTTCAAATAAAGTTGAAACAAAAACTCCTAAGAATTGGGTTTCTCTAATAAATCCCAAAAAGACAATTTCGCTTGTGAGCAGCAATTCAAACCGCCCCATGAAAATTGCTTTACAAAAAAACAAAATACCCAGTGTTACCCGTATTCTTCAACAGACCATCTCTCCACAGCAGGCCTTTTATCTAGAAAGATGGAAGCAAAAAATGATACTGGAACTTGGGAAAGATGGTTTTGAAGAGTATACTAAAAGTAAGTCTTATCATGGTGTGGTGACAAAGCAGAAGCAATGGTGTGTCCCAATGGTGACAACTGTCCAGACTAGCATTGCTGCAATGTCTGGTTCTAGAAGTTGAGTGTTTTGAAAATCCATTAAGTTGTTTCAATTTCAGAGGTCAGAGTATATTATGAGGGCACATGTTGTCAGTGTAAACTCTAATCTTTGTTTGAGGACTGTTAAAACTGATCCGGAAATGAGCGGGGAAAATAGAATTACACTGTAGACTCCTTTGCTCTATCCTATCTGCCTCTGCTGTTTCTCTGTTTGCTACTTTCTCTTTACAAATATATGTTTTCCAGCTGAATTTATTCAGCCTGTTTGGAGATACAAAGGTATTTTATAACTAGGTGAAAAGAAGCATTCTGAAATTATATCGTCCTGATTGTTCAGAAGACCGCACATATTGCTGTATATGCTGAAGTTCATCAGAAACCGTGTATATATGGTATATACAGCTTCTTCCATGAAGTTCAGAGGTTTTAGAGGTTCTCATTTAATGAAGTCGCATACAAAAGTGACTTCCCTCAAGCTGTAGGGCTGAAGACAGTCAGAGGAGGCATGGAGCATAATGCCTTTTGCAGAAAGGCTGGTAAATACCCTCTAGCTCTCCTTACTTGAACAGTTATTCTTTGGAAAACTGTATATCGTTCTTTATGCTCTTCTCAGTTACTAAGCACTTGACTGAATAAGCTTACTAGGTAAAACAGACACAAACCTGATACAGCTATTTAAAATTATTCTTCTCTGCAACATTTCTGAGATAAGCCCTTACTGTACAGAACTATGCCCATCCACTTCAGATTTGTTCCATTCAAGTGAACCTGTACAACATAGAAAGCAAATGTGACGAGAAACATAGAATAATGTTTTTAAATTTACAGAAATTCTCATTTGGAATACACAGTACAATAATGCCATTGACTAAACAGTCAAGTTCTTATTTTCTTTCTGTGGAATTAATGAAACCAAAACAAAGTAAAGTAAGCATTAATATGAGAGAGAATTTCTCTTGATAGTTATTTTGCTGTCTTACTGTATTCCCTGCCCTACATCCTTAAGCCTTCAGTATTAAAAGGTGGCTAGTTTAAGAGTTACTTTGTAAAATATCTATTATGCATGCTTGCCACATATTATATATACTGCCTAAAATGTTGCATCTTTCCTAGATCTTTTCCTCCAGGGAGAGCTTTTTCATGCAGCTTTGGAATCTATATTTCTGCCTGAAGAGATGGCTGTTAAGGAGCAAGGAGAAGACTCTGCTGTTTCTGGCTACCTATCAAGCGTGCAACATGTCCTAAAAGATATCAGTGAAGTTAAAGCTCTGGAAAGTGCAGTTCAGCATGAAACTCTTCAGTATCTGGGCCTGGTAGACTGCGTGGCTAAGTATCGGTGAGGTGCTGGTTCTCTAAGAAGCCAAATAATGTCCAGCTGCTGTGTGGTGTTATGTGGCATGTGGGGAGCTGTGTCCTGTGATGGAGCAAGTGTGTTGGTGAGCTACAGAGGGGGAGCTAGAAGGATATTCAAGAAGGGTGAAATGGAAGGACTCAGAGGTGAATCTGCTGACAGAATTGTTATAGTGCCTTGTGGAGGATTTGTTTTTGACCAGAGTGTGAGCAGGGCAGTTACCAGGAATTGCAGGAAGTCTTTTTTTGAGATTTAAACCACCAGCAAGGGGAAGATTTTCTTAGCTTGGAAGTAATAATGAGCAGCATGACTTTGGGTGGAAATGGGTTGAAAGTGATATGACTTCTTTTGCTGTGCTATACCTTGTTTCCTGCTGTGAGTGAAGTTAAGCTGATACATTCTCTCTTGTCTTATGCAGAGGACAGTTATGTGTGATTGACTGGAAGACATCAGAGAAACCAAAGCCATTTCTGCAGAATACTTTTGACAACCCACTGCAAGTTGCAGCATATATTGGAGCCATAAATCATGATGCCAATTATGACTTCCAGGTCAGTAAGTCTGCTGCCAGCCAAGACAAGCAGTAGTGCCTGTGTTCCTTTCATTTCTCCCCTCTTACTGCTTTTAGCATGAACTGTTGTTAGGATTTGTAACCAGTCCTGTCTTAGGTCAGGCTAAACTGACATACAACTTTACTGCAAAATAATTCTACTATTCTTCCTGCTGCCATGGCTTGTCCATAGTATATTGTCTGATTTTAAGGAAAGCCCTGTTCAGTGGGAACAATTGTGTCCTAGAAGGTCCAGTAAAGCTGTAATGATTGGTATTTTGTGAGTCCTTGGTGCTTCATTCTGTGTAGTTTTATCTTGTGTCAGGACTAGGAAAAGAAAGAAGAAATAAAACAAAAGAGCATGCAAACAGGGAAATGGGATGGGAAGGTATTGCTCATGTCATGTGATGCTCTTAAGACTCCAAAGGTAACTGTAGCCAGGCCTGCTTGACCCAAAGCTTTGAAGGGGCAAAATGTGAAGCAGATCCTTAAAGTGCAATATAGGAGGTAATTGAAGGATTCTGTTATTCTGATTCCTACCACTTTCTCTTCACCTTCCTTAAGGTTTGGATATTACAGCTGTTTGTCAAGTATGAAGTATTTCAGAACGTATTTCTTACAAATTAAATGTTTCTTATTTAAGATATCAGAAAGCACTTCACTGTACAGGTGCCAGAGCACTGGCATGGGCTGCCCAGAGAAGTTGTGAAGGCTCCTCCTTGGAATCCCTCAGATGTGGTTCTGAGCACCCAGCTCTGGGTGTCCCTGCTGGAGCAGGCAGACCCGGAGGTGGCTTCCAACTCTGACCATTCTGAGATGTTAAGATCTAAGATGGTATTTTGCAGTGAGGTCCTGTTGCTAAAACTACTGATTGAAGTTGCATATTAATGTTCAATCTCTAACAGCCCTCTGCTTTTAACTGTAGGTTCATTGTGGACTCATTGTGGTTGCCTATAAGGACGGCTGCCCCGCACATCCACATTTCATGGATCCAGATCTTTGCTCACAGTACTGGAATAAGTGGCTTTTGCGTCTTGAAGAATACATGGACAGAAACTGACCCAAACTAAGCTATGCAGAGGCAAGTGATCTGAGCACAGAGCCGAAGCACAAATCTTTTGTTTAAGTCTTTATTTAGTAATTCTGTTCTTAGTAACTCGAGTTAGCATCAATCATTTTTTCCCCTTAAAAAAAAAAAGAAAGAAAGAAGAAAAATCAGAATGGGAAATGCACACTTGTCTAAGTTGTAGGAGACTTCAGTGGACGTGGCAAGACAGAGCAGAACCTGCATCATCCCTATATCTTTCCCTCCCTGTCTATACAATTTGAAGTTGGTAGGAAGGTTTATACATCAGTTAGCTAGATGAAGTAAAACTGTTCAATCGTCCTCCTTTTGTTTTCAAGAAAAAGCTGAGACTCTGAGAATGAAAAATAAATGAATATTGTTGACTGGGTTTCAGTCAAGGTAGATCTTGCCCATTTCAAAGATATCTATTAACAGGCCTGTTACTGTTTGTGTTTTTTCTTACAGCAACAAATGCAAAACTTGCACTATGAACTACAACCAAAGCTCACATAAGTACTTATTTTAAATATTACAAAAAAAGTTGCTTGTTTAACAGAAGTGGCTTAGGAGCAGAGGAGCAGAATTGTAACTGATACACATAGAAATTTCTAGCATGTGTTTTAAAAGACAGGAAGTTTTATTACTTCTGGTAGCTCCTGCAGGTTCCAAAACAGGCTGTGTAAAAAGCCCATGGGCTAAGGAAGAGAAATGTGAAAATGTAAATGGGCTGCGTGCCTTTGGTGGTGGGCTGATAATGGACACTGCGCAGGGCAAGTCTGCAACTATTTTCAGCTTTCCTGACTTTCTTGTGAGTCTGAGCAGACGAGGAGCCTACCCATGCAGAACTATTTCTAGTGACAGGTTTAAGCATTTTCCAGTGCAAGTGGATTTCTTTGCAGTCACAGATTTCTGTGACTTTGAAGCTGGGCATTCTGAAAAGCACTTTTTTTTTTTTTTTTGAGATTGCCTTTGTTTTGTTGTTTAAAATAACGTGAGGAATAAATGTTCTAAAACAGAGGAGTTAATTTGAAGCTTGTTTCATACAGTCAAGTTTACAGACATAGAATAAGTCATGATGTCAGGTGACAACACTTTGTGTGTTACATCTGGAAAAACTTTTCCTCATTCTCTTTATTTTCTCTGATTTACATGCACGAGTTTTCATAATATCGCTGCAGATTACATATAGAAATACAACTGACTTACAGGCTTCAAGAAAATCAGCCAGAACCATACCTAAAAAAATAATGAGCAAGCTTGCCGCAGAAGGAATGTAAGCCTGTGTTGTGTTTGATACTCGACTCTTGTAGAGTACTGAACTGTGAACACTTGCGCAATAAAGCTTTGCTGGTTGTGCCGGTCCGTGCTTATTCAAACCACGATGTGGTGACGGCATGATTACTCTGAGCTTAATTAGATTTCTAAGGAGACAAACATGGAGACTGAGAAACTGGGTTCATAGATGACTAATTGTAACGAAGCAGTGTGAATACTCAGTTCTACCTGTTTGGCAAGTACATCTCCACATCACAGGATTTGAGCAAGTGGGTAGGTCAGTGCCATTGGAGATGGTCAGTTAGACAGCTCTGTGGATGCAAAGAAGGGCAGCATAAGTGAGAGAGACGATGCTTCGGGCTGAAGTAGGCAGTGATAAAATGTTCTGAACTCTGTGTTGATTAGGATTGGATAAATAAAATTGAGCAACGTTGGGATGGGATTGCCTCCTGCATCAGTGCATCAGACAGCCATTAGATGTCCCTTAGCTTTGTAAGTTTTCATCCTCACCCTGCTTCCTACTGAATGAGGCCTAGTTGAGCCTGGGCAGCATAGGCATCTGTTGGCTTCATCTGTGTTCATTTGTTTATTACAAAAGCCTTTGAGGAAGGTTGCCAACTTCATTAGCAGTGCCAGTTTGTAAACCTATTTTTAAGTCTTGGATTAATTTGTAACATCAGAGAGTCAGGGGAAGGTAGACAGTATCAGTGGAAGTTACTCATGTCTAGCACTTCTGAAAGCCTGGCTGCCTCAGGCATCCCTATAGGAGTTCTCAAACTACTAAAGAGGTAAAGGTGTTGCCAGTTTTGTCCCATAACAAGCTATTGCCAGTCCCATGCAAACTCAGACCCACTTTGTCACCAGTTTAGCATTGCTTCTCAGACTGTTAAATTGACATGCCCAAGGCGTCTGCTACAGGGAGTATCTGTCCTCTGTAGAAAAACCTGTCAGACAGTTCAGGGCAGTTACTGCAACTGTAGTGTCAAGTTTGTTGGAACTTTGCTATCCATCCAGGGCAGTTTTGCTTCTGTGTACTGATACACACTACATTATTCTTTTGCTGTGAATGCTTTCTTTGTCTAAAATCACATAGATGACCCACCTCGACGTGTCTCGTTCTTTGGCAAAGGTATCATTTAGCAGTGGTAACGGAAGGAAGTCAAAAGCAGTGGTTCCTACAGTGGGAAGAACACCTACCTCCTCCTCACACACAGCACCACAAATTCCCCATCCAGTTAAAATAGGTGGGAATGGTTTTAGCTGCTACGCCACTGCTCCAAGGGCTGCTGTTTCAGTAGAGCTAAGCATACGGATCCTTTGCGGTTAGGTGAATTCTACTCACTTGCTCAGGTGGCCTCTGCTGACACTCCCTCCCAATAGCTGAACTCAAGTCATGCCTGGGACTGGACTGTGAGGGTTAAGGGAAGTGACATCTGTATTACTACACTGTTCAGTTATAATGGCACCATCTCAGAAGAGCTGAGATTAGCGCATGAGCCTTAGCAGTTTTTGCAAAGTATCTTCTAAATACTTCAGATGCTTTTTCTTCCTTAGGTTTACTGTTTATTAAAGTATTTTTCAAACTTTCCTGGTACACAGCAGTGAAGTTTGTTCTTAACATAGTAGCATCACTTTATTATCATCATTTTCAGTACCTCAAGCACGTAGATTTGTGCTGGATCAAATACTAATACCGCCAGGAAAACTGCTGAAAGCTCTTCCCTGTGAGAACCCAAGGAGATGTCTGTACAAGACTGAGGTATCTTGAGGTTTGATTTTGTTTTTTATTTTTTTGATTCCTACGTAGATACTCAGAACCTTACAATTTAAGTGGTAATGGTTATGAAGGTCCTGGCCAGGTGAGTTACAGTTCATTGCTCATACAGAGCATTTGTTTCAATGTGTACAGAGTGGGATATATTTTTCCAAAAATATACTTCTATTTTGAGCCCAAAATAAATATTGGGAAAATTACCAATGAAAACCATTAATTGTTTAGCATTTAAATTAATCTAAACTGTGTTTAGCAGCTGTGGCCATTAAGATATGAGACATGAATAAATGTGCTTGGACTGGTGTAACTTGGATTGTTGCTGAGGAAGTTACCACCCCACCCTGTCTTTCCTAACTTAGACACCTGAGTGCCCAGTAAGGGTTGCAGCAGCTTCTGAAGAGATTTACGGTGTTGGATATAAGGGGAGTCCTAAAAGCAAGGACGTAGTACTCGTCCCTTGTCATCAGCACACCACTTTCTCTGGTAACATCAGTCTTACTAGGAGCCATCTAAACTAACAGTGATTAGGGGGCAGTTATGCATACAGCTTTGCACTCGTCTCATGAGGCAGACAGCCTGTGTCACACTCTTATCTGCTTTGCACAGCTTTGTTGTACTAATGAACAGGCACCTGAGTTTTAAAAATTTAAACAACCCACGTTCCCGCGCACACCATAAAATACACACACAGTTACACTCCATCGTGACAGAAAATACATAACTTTCAATTGTTAAAAGGATTTCTTTGGGTTTCTGGCTTGGTATTGATTTACGTTAAAAGGATTTGGTAACAATTCCCAAGTGAGCATGAGGAGTCCAGAAAAGTCAGCGTTAAGGTTACACTTACATCTAAATAGGTTGAAATGATTTCACAGCTTGAAGTCCCTAGAATGCGAGTCTCTGCTGGAAGGGGAAGTTTAGGAGGGAAAAAGGTCTGTGTTGTTTTAAATAAAGTTTCAGCTCATCTTGGATAACGGCTCTGCAAATTGTTCATTTACTGCACAGGGGCAGAGCTAAGGTTATTTGCACATTTAAACTTAAGTACCAATACCCTGTACTGTTTGTAAGCCAATTTTAATGAACTTTGCACATCAGAACAGCATACTAGGAGCTGCTCTTACGTGGCCCCTTTCACCCAAACACCTCAAAAGTAATTTTTGCAGGAGGTAACTGTTACTGTCTTGAAGAAATGTGCTGGGGAAAGGTGAGCTTCTTTGTCAGCACCGTTCAGATGAGTAGGAGAGCTGAAATGGCAGTCAGGTTACCTGAATGCCAGGGTCAGTAAATACTCCATCTTAGGGTTAGGGTTTCCATTTTTTTGACCAGATAAAGTCTGACGTTTGTATGATTTGTGGGAATATTTCTTTCAAGTCGAGGTTCTACCAGTATCAAGAGAGTCCCATTAACAAAAGTATCCCTTTTCTTTCAGGGATTTATTTCAAAATAGTTTTTTAAAAAAATAATATATATGTAGTCCTACGTGTAAACTTCATTCCTGCAGACCATTGTAATCCACCGCGTTACTCATCTTTGTCGTCATCTTTGGAGTTCCTCTGCAGGACAGGGCTCAGTTTGTTTTGCAAGACCGCTGCGAGTTTTTTTGAGGTTTTTTTCAGGAAGGCACTGCTGGGGTGCACGCTGCTGACGTGCAGGTACAGGTCCTCCTGCGTGGGGCCGGTGTAGCCGCAATCCTCGCACACGTACAGTTTGTCCCGCCTCTGTTTGTAGGCGTATTGCTGCTGCACTCCGTGAATCTTCTTGAGGTGGGATTCCAGGGAACACCGCTGGGTAAATGCTTTGTTGCAAACCTCACATTTGTAAGGACGAATTCCTACAATGCCAAAAGAGGGTCATTGTTTTTCTAGTTTACATTTATTATAGCCAAGAAATCAGCTGAAAGCAAGGCTGTCTTCTTAGATAGCAAGCAGACATCTACCACTAAGTAGCTGCTAGCCCAAGAAACTGTGAATAGAACATTTTACTTTTAGGCCAAAATCACAAGTGGTTTGATATATTTAGGAGAGTATAAATGTTTTGAGGAGATGGAAGCAGGAGCTGAAGCTGATTGGTGGCCATCACAGCTTTGGTCCCAAAGAAGAAACAGTTATCTATTCTTGCAACACTTATTCCTTTGAAGACCTGACTTAAAATTTTAGTTCTGTGATTATATAGAGCTGTTGGTTTTAGCTAACTGCTCATTTTGTTGCTTGTAATGAACGAAATTTTGTGTCTTGGTAAGTAATTATCCTCTTTTAGTGACTCTTCAGTGGATGGCTGCCTAACGTGGACATACAGAGATCACAGCGCTTCCAATGAGCAAGAGTGTTTTCATAAGATAGAGTATTAATTATTGTGATTACAGGCTTGGGTTCTACAAAATAGTGTACTGAGATGAAAAAAGTCTCTGTGTGTCTCTTGGAGGAGGAAGAACACGAGTGGCTTGTGATTTGAATGCCTGAATACTTTCATTATAAAAAGCAGAGAAGAGTATCCACTTTATCACCAATCAACTGATTTAACAACAATAGCTCCTCAGTGCTCAGTGGATGAACACCTGGGGGTTTATCAACACTTGAAAAACCCAAACATGGTGTGTGATTTTTCTCACTACAGAGCAGCTCAGTACTAAGGCCAGCCTTAAAGCTGATACAACGTGCTATCCCAAGCCCGCTTTGATAAAAGTATGTATCAGTGAGCAATAGGCAAGGAACGGTGAAGAGCAAAGCTGCCATGTTCCCATGGTGTTAAATTAGTCATCGAACTGTGTTAAGTTTGCCATTTACTTGCTGGAATCTTGTTACCAGAAATCCCAACTAATTGGGAGTTCCAATCAAAAGCATCTTGATTGCATTTTTGCAAGTCTTGGGCAAGGAGTTTATTCCAAAGTGTTAGAACTGTCAAACTTGAAGTGTTAATTTCCTAACACCTACTGCTGTGAGACTGCACCAGTGGCTTCAGTTACACTGAGCTGCAGTTGGAGAGAAACTCCAAATCTTTCTCAGAATTCACAAACAAAAAACACATCCGTTACAAACAGTATTTTGGGTGTGGTTTTATGCTCACCCACCATCAGTGTGGGTCTGCACTTATGGCAGCTGACCAGGGTCTGTGCTTCTCCATTACTTTTGAATCATTTCACGATTTCATTTTACTGTGCATGTGAGTTACTTAACGTTGAACTCTGTATGTGCCATGCACCTGGGTTAGCACATTTGGCTGTTCCACTGTTACATCTGGCTGCAAGCAATTTCCACTGGAACACCAAATTCAGGAAAGCAAACCCTAGAGAAAAAAGCACAGCCTGTGCTTAGCCTGGCTTTATGCTGGAGAGGAGAAATGGTAACGCTGGATTTCTCTGATTAAATTTGGGGACAGTTTAACTGTAAGTCACCTGACGTGGACTGTAGTGTTTCAGTTCTGTTCACTCCAGATCCTTCTTCCTCCACAGTTTTACAAAATCAGTTCAATCCTGACTGTTGAGTTCAGCTGTCCCAGCCACAGCACAGATGCCTATGGCTTCTGGTCAGAGACCTTGCCCTAAGCAAGGTGAGTTTCTGAATCCAAAGAAGAGGACTTGGGTAGAAAACACCACCTCTTCCTGACGCATTGGCTCTGCCCTTCAGGCACAGCCCGTTGTTCTCAGTTGGAAGATTTCCTGTCCACTTGGCAAACCTAAACCAGCCCAGAACACTGGTCCTGGCCAACGTTCTCTCATCAAAATGGGCAGCGTTGTTTTCGTGACATCTACTGATAAGGAACAAATCCTGTCTACCAACAGACTTGTGCTGCTAGCCATGCACCTGCTTAATTCTGCCTAATCCTATATGCCAAAGAAAAGGGCATTGCAGAGCAGTCCTGGAGGGAGCAGCGAATGCAGAAAGGTGGAACATGCCTGGGAGAGGCAGAGACTACCAGGTGCCCCATGGTGGGAATGGAAAGGCTCCTGGTGCGAGCAGCCTGGCTTTACAGAGTGCCCTATGTGGTGGAGGTGGGCTTGATGTGTGCTCGTCCCATTGCTTTCACTTAGGAAGAAAAAAGAAGAAAAGGAAACCAAAAGAGAGCATCCTTCTTCCAGGTTAGCAAAAGGCTCTGAAATGGTTTGCTTCCACCTGAGCTCATTCAGAATGCAGCTGGGCCCCAGCCCTGACATTTGAATGGCTGCGGCTGAAGCACAGCCTTGGAGCTCCCAGTTGGCTCAAGCTGTGTCGTGCAGCAGAAGCCATGCGTGTTGCTTGCTGGGCTCAGCAGGCACCAAATGCATCGCACGGTCTCCCAGAAGAACCCAGAAGCACAGCATACACCACGGTGCCTCCTCCAGATGCCAAAAC